TTTTTGGGTTTAAATTTCTCAATAATAAACCAATTTCTATTTTTTCCTACCACGGTGCTCAGGTGAGGATTGCCCATGGGCCTCTTGTTGTAGTAGAGCTTGTCTATGGAGTATGTAAAAGGGATTGCACTCATAGCAGGAAAGGTCTATAGTCCTATGCAATTGAAGACTGTAGGTTCATAGTGGGAGAAAGCAGAAGGAATGCAAATTTAAATCAAATGAATACAAACAAGCTCATTCAGAGAATTTGTGTCCCTGCTGAAGGAAGAAAGAGGAGGATGCTCAGATTGGGGGGGAAAACCCCCCCCCCCCCCCCCCCCCCCCCCAGATTTGCAGAATTTTTAAATTATGTAATGAAGCAAACAAAAAATACTAACATGGATATAAAGATTTCTTATTCCTTAAAAGATTCTTTTAATAAAAAATGGCACACAATAATTAAATAATAGTTTATACACATCATGTATCATGATTTTTCATTACAGATGCTAAATACATGTTGTAATTTAAAAAAAAATTTTTTAAGGTCCAACCAATATATGAACCAGGGGTCTATCCAATGCTATGCAAGAATTTTCCCCCTCAGCCATCAACCAACTTCATATAGCTAGGAATCAAATGCAAACAATAGGTTACATACATATTGTATACATGCTTACATCATGTTCTACATTTTTTACACACAACAAAAGTGTTTCTATTTAGCCTCTACTAAACCTTTTACCAAAATCCATAGGGAGTTGTCATGTAAAATTTTAAATTTCAAAAGTTCAAAGGCTTCTTGGGATGTCGCTTGGAAATAAAAGGTTCAGACAGACAGAAATGCAGCCAACAGACAGAAGGGCGGTGGTGGGACATAGGGAATTATGGTTTAAAAAATTTTTTAAATGACCAATATTTCCCCCCAAATCAAACTTTTAAAGAGGAATATTTAATTATGTTCTTAAATAGGGGATATATGCTGACTTCAAAACACTGAATATTTTCATAAGCAGTGACGTCATATGTTTGCAATGACATCACGAAAATGCAGAGAAGACCCAGAGACCACGAAAAATGAACTTTTCCCCAAAAAATCCAAATGTGTGAATGTGGTACTTCTTTGTCCTTTTAAAATCATTCTGTATATGTGTAATTTTTAGCTCACCTTAGCTGAAAGCTCAAGTGAGCTTTTCTGATATCATTTTGTCTGTAGTCCGTCTGTCTGTCTGTCTGTAAACTTTTCACATTTTCGAGTTCTTCTCAAGAATCAATGGACCAATTTTCACCAAACTTGCCACAAAGCATCCTTGGGTGAAGGGGATTCAAGTTCAAATGAAGGGTCAAGCCCTCTTCCAAGGGGAGATAATTATGAATCAAATCATAACCCACAGGGGTAGGGTGGGGCCACAAAGATGGATCCAAGTTTTACATAGGATTGATTTTATACTGTTTAACGTCCCTCTCCAGAATATTTCACTGATATGAAGACGTCACCATTGCCGGTGAAGGGCTGCAAATTTAGGCCTATGCTCGGCACTTACGGCCATTAAGCAGGGAGGGATCTTAATCGTGCCACACCTGCTGTGACACGGGGCCTCGGTTTATACGGTCTCATCCGAAGGACCGCCCCATTTAGTCGCCTTTTACGACAAGCAAGGGGGTACTGAGGACCTATTCTATCCCGGATCCCCACGGGGCGTTTTACATAGGAAAATAAAGGGAAAAATCTCAATAACATAAAAGGTATGTTAAGTCATACTGACATGTAAGCATCCTCATGTTTTGAAGATTTAAATTTGTTCAAATCATGAGTACCCTTTGGGGTAGGGAGGGAAGCAATGGGGAGTTAAATTCAAATTATTACAAAGTAATATATACAAACAAAATGTGAAAAAAATCTATAATAATCTTTTTCTGCAAGAACTTTCTCAAAAGTTATATGCAGAATAGATATGGAGGCATTCTAAAGTAGTATTACAATTCAAGCCCCCTTCCCCCCACCCCTCAGTCAACTTTTCAATTCTAATCTGATTTGTGCTTTCACCTAGCTGATTTGCTCAAATGAGCGATGTGGCCCCTGGGCCTCTTGATTTCATATGTCGACTCGATATCTCTCGAATTTGAAATTTGATTTGAAATCATTTTTCAGCAGAGTTTGGCTTATATGTTTCATATATTTTAGATTTGTTTTGGGCGTGATTTTTCTTTGTAAAGTCCATATTTCACATAACCTCATTTAAGTATATAAAACACACTTTCAGTCTATCAGTGTGTACCAACCTGTCCTCCTGGATATCATAAACCAAAATTACAAGATGGATGTATTCCAGACCAAACAAGTCTGTAAGTAATATAAATTGAAGAATCGATATAAATTTTCATAATTGCACAAATATATAGATTTTTCGTAAATTTTTTGAATAATTGAGATATATGCATACTGACATGCTGGTGTTTCCAAATTTCAAGCACATCGACTGAATCGGCGACTACAAGGACACAAATAGAGGATTTGAGGGAAACCGAGGTTTCTGTAATGAAAGGTTTTCACTTTAAAGTACAACTTTACGGAATATTATAAATTATATCAACATCTCAGTGAACAGGAAATTGAGAAAATGATATCATTTAGTGCAAAAAAGATCGTAAAAATGTGTCAAAGTTTTCACAGACATTACGATGTCGGTATTTATAAACAGACAAAGTAATGTTACAATAGTTGTAGACCAATGATAACAAGAACGTCATCTTGTTGAAAACTTAAGCTGAATGTTAAAGTTGTTGGGTGGACAGAATAAAGTCATGTGGAATAATTTTCAACAAGGTCCTGTTATACTGGTATTAATCTTAATACTCCCCTAACATATATTACCAGATTGTTTCTTGGGATAACACTACAATCCATGGAAGAAATTTAAGAGTAATTCGAAGTCACATTCTATAAATTATTTATAGATTGATATACATGTATATAGAATTCCTTTTTATCATGGACATTTGCAAGCACACAATAAAAAAGTAAAAGTGTAAAATTTCCAATACCTGTGTCCATGATTTCAGTCTCAGGTTATGGTCATACAATGTATTTTATAATTAACGTTACATTTTTGAAAATTGTCTTAATACCTCCTGGACATTTTGCATGCAAACTGTTGCAATATTTAATGGAATGCTTGCCTTCTATACCAAGCTTTCGAATAAGGCAGTAAGTCAGCATTGAATCCTAAAGGAATGGCTTTTGCCTTTGGTAACTTCTTGAAAAAATATAGTACATGCAGTGTACCTTTAATTCTTTGACATTTAGCTGGTAGACTTTGAGTAACATATTTTGCATGTGTCACTTTGTTTATACCTCAAACTCAGTAAATTATGAATTGTGTGATAAAAGTACAGATATCAATTTCCATGTGGTCTTAAGAAGTTTATAATGCTAAGTTGACCAAAAATCAATGAAGGTCTTGTAAAAATTAATGAATCTATAAAGCTCTGGACGATATTTAACTAAACATATATAGAATTGGGGAAACCGGGGAACATGTTTGATGAATTTTTTTGTCTGCTTTTTAATTAATCTTTAAATAAGTACAATGTATCTCTTTGTTAGAAATCTCCAACTGAATTCGATATTCTTGCAGATGAAGTTCCCGATAACAATGCTACAGTTTTAGGCTTAGCCATAACGTTAAGCTTGACGTTATTTGTGGTATCTGTGATAGTCATTAGTGAGTATCTTCAGTTTACTTTTAAAAATTACTTTACCATAATAAAGACAATTTGTGAAAAGAACTGAACATAGCGAGTTAAATGAAAAACTTACAATTTGATGTTTATCTGGAAAAAAGTTCAAACAAATTAATTACTCTGTATATATACAGTTAAGGTGTTTAATGTACGAAAATGCATTGGTTTTATTAAGTATGCCATTTTATCGTTGTATACATGTATGTGATTTTTTTTCTTTACATATTTGAATGATTTAAACAGAATTTTGATTTGAAGAGATAATTTAAATTCGCTTAAAATTATATACCGGATATTTCTTATCTTTATCATTTTTATGATTGAAAAGATAAACAAATTATATTCCAAGTGAAAATTATGTCAGAGAGTAAAGCTAAAATCTCAAAAATCTATAAACGATTGACAAAATGGCCATTATTTGAAATGTTGAATTTAATTTTTCTTTATTGGAAATCTGTTTTAAGAAAAAAAAATCTTATTACAGAAAAACAGGTAAATTCATGATTTTAAACGTGTTCAATCTTCCTTTCAGTTTATTGTATACGGAGTAAAAAATGTAAGTATTTTTTTTTCTTATTTTGGTTGTTCATGTAAAAAACAACAAACGAATTAAAAAGATCATTTTATGTTTCTCCTGTACCTTTTTAGCTCACATGAACCAAAAGCCCAAATGAGCATTTCTGATCGAAAGTCTGTTGTCTGTCGTCGTCATCGTCGTCTATTTTTCACAATTTTATCTTCTCTAGAAAACTGCTGGGCTTATTTCAACCAAATTTGGCACAGAGTATCTGAGAGGAAGTTAAAAATATGAAAATGAAGGGCCAAGTCCTCTTACAATGTACAAGGGGAGATAACTTTGTTCAAATAAAGGGTCACGCCCGTCCAAGAGGAGATAACTACGAAATAGCGAAAAGTAATATCAGTGAAAAAGTCTCACCTCAAAAACCAATGGGACAGGAAAAATGACATTCCTCTGAAATCATTGTCAGGTAGTGTAGATTCAAGTTTGTTCAAATCATGTCCCCGGGGGTTAGATGGAGCCACAATAGATGATCAAAGGTATATGTAGGAGTTCAAAAGGGAAAAGTCACAATTAGTCAGAAACTACGTAAGCATATTTATTTAGTATAGATTCGATTTTGTTCAAATCATAACACAAACCGTTCTCATTTTTAGCTCACCTGAGCCGAAGGCTCAAGTGAGATTTTCTGATCAAAATTTGTCCGTTGTCTGTCGTCGTCGTCGTTGGCGTTGTCATCGTCGTTGTCGTAAACTTTTCACGTTTTCATCTTCTTCTCAAGAACCACAGGACCGATTTCAACCAAACTAGCTACAAAATATCCTTTGGTAAATGGAATTCAAGTTTGTTCAAATGAAGGGCCACGCCCTCTTCTAAGGGGAGATAATTATGAATTAATGAAAAATTAATGGCATTTTTTTTTAAAAAAATCTTTTCAAGAACCACTGGGCCAGGAAAGATGAAACGCATGTGGAATTATCCTCAGGTAGTGTAAATTCTAGTTTGATCAAATCATGACCCCTGAGGCAAGGATGGGGCCAAAATTGTTGGTCGAAGTTTTACATAGGGATATATAGGAAAAATCTTAAAAATCTTCTTATCAAGAACCATTAGAAAAGGAAAGATGAAACTCATGTTGAATCATCCTCAGGTAGTGTACATTCAAGTCTGTTCAAATCATGACCCCCGAGGGTTGAATGGGACCACAATGGCTGATAAATGTTTTACATAGGAATATATAGAGAAATATTTTAAAATGTTCTTCTCAAGTACTGCAAAGCCATGATTAGTGATTTTTTTATGGAAAGATATTCAGATACTGTAGATTCTAGTTTAACTTTAGGCATTTGGCCATACCTTGAATATAGATATGAACAGTTTGTCAGCGCAACTCCTCATAAACCGCTGCACAGAATTTCGTCAAACTTTGCAGGTATTTAGGACAAAATGTGTAGATGTGCATATTACCAGGAAATTCCGATTCCATTATTTTTTCCGGGAATTTCCTCAATTTTTAACTTAAGCATTTGGCCATACCTTGAATATAGAGATGAACAGTTTGTCAGCGCAACTCCTCATAAACCGCTGCACAGAATTTCGTCAAACTTTGCAGGTATTTAGGACACAATGTATAGATGTGCATATTACAGTTTGTCAGCGCAAATTCCTTTGCAGGTATTTAGGACACATTATTTTTTCCGGGAATTTTCGCACTTTTTAACTTAGGCATTTGGCCATACCTTGAATATAGAGATGAACAGTTTGTCAGCGCAACTCCTCATAAACCGCTGCACAGATTTTTCGTCAAACTTTGCAGGTATTTAGGACACAATGTGTAGATGTGCATATAACCAGGAAATTCCGATTCCTTTATTTTTCCGGGAATTTCCACACTTTCCAACTTAGACTTTTTGGCCATATTTTGAAGATAGAGATGAACAGTTTGTCAGCACCACTCCTCTTAAACTGTTGTACATAGTTTCTTTTATCCCAAAGAGTTTTGCCTATTTTTCAAGAAAATTTCTCCCCTCCCCTCCCCCAACCACTTCAAATTAATGTTTGGATTTGTATAATGCCAAGAAATTTTATCAAACTTTATATGCTGATAGATATTGATGAGAGCTATGCAACTGCATCAACATTTTTTTGACCTTGACCTTTCCTTTGACCTTGACCTCACTTTTCTTAAATTAGTTTTTAGCTCAGTTTTAAATATACCATTCAAGATGGTGTTATCATACTTCACATGTTGATACATACTGGTGAGAGCTATTCAACTGCATCAACAATTTTGACCTTGACCTTTTATTTGACCTTGACCTTGACCTCACTTTTATCAAATTGTGTTGAAGTCAGTTTTAATTAAAGACATCATTTCTAGATATTTTTATTAAATTTCATATGTTGATACATATAGATGAGAGATTTTATTAAACTTCATATGTTGAAACATTTTGATGAGAGATATGCAACTGCATCAACGTTTTTGACCTTGACCCTTGCTTTGACCTTTGACCTCACTTTTCCTAAATCAGTGTCAAACTTCATATGCTGATACATACTGATGTAAGCAATTCAACTGCGTCAACAATTTTGACCTTGACCTCTATTTGACATTGACCACACATTTATGAAATTGTGTTTAAGTCAGTTTTAATTAAAGACATCTTTTCTAGATATTTTTATCAAACTTTATATGTTGATGCATATTGATCAGACATGTGCAACTACTTCAATAGTTTTGACCTTGACCTTTGCTTTGACATTGACATCACTTTTTAGCTCTACTGGTCAGATACCAGAAGAGCTTATGCTATAGTAAGGTGTCCGTCGTCCTTCCGTCTGTCTGTCTAGCTGTCCATCTGTCTGTAAACAATTTTTCAAAACGCTACTCCTCCTATAGTTTTGGTCTGATTTAAATATAACTTGGCAGACAAGTAGACTACACTAAGATACATAAAATAGTGCATTGGTTTTTGATTTCGTTGAACGATGTTGCCATGGTTACTAAAAATAGAAATTTCTGTGAAATTCCTATAAAACGCTACTCCTCCTACAGTTTTGGACTGATTTCAATATAACTTGACATACAAGTAGACTACAGTAAGATACATAAAATAGTGCATCAGTTTTTGATGAATGATGTTGCCATGGTTACTAAAATTAGAATTTTCTGTGAAATTCCTATAAAACTCTACTCCTCCTACAGTTTTCATCTGATTTCAATATAACATGGCACACACGTAGACTACACTATGATACATATAATAGTGCATCGGTTTTTAGCTCACCTCAACGAAGTTGGGGGGAGCTTATGTGATACCCTCGGCGTCGGCGTCGGTGTTGGCGTCCCAGGTTATGGTTAAGTTTTTTTGGGCAGTTTTCTTTTTAAGTACTTCTTTGTCCTATATTGATTAGACATGCATGGAAGATGCTTCTAGTGTCTTTCATTGTACCAGTCCAAGATTCAGATGCTGCAGTTTAAACAAAGAAATGACCAGATTAATGTTTTTTGGAGCAGGTTAACATTTTTGGTGCAGTTTTTGGTGTAGGTTTCATTTCCAAGTAACTTTAAGCCCTATGTTGACCAAACTTGCATGGATGATACATCTAAGGATGCATACTACTGGGCTTGCTTCGGATGCTGAATCTGACCTACATTTTCTGGTTGAGTGAACAGGTTAAAGTTTTTGGTGCTTGCAGGTTTCATTTCCAATTAACTATAAGTCTTATGTTGACCAAACTTGCATGGATGATACATCTAAGGATGCATACTACCAGGCTTGCTTCGGATGCTGAATCTGACCTACATTTTCCGGTTGAGTGAACAGGTTAAAGATTTTGGTGCAGGTTTCATTTCCAAGTATCTATAAGTCCTATGTTGACCAAACTTGCAAGTATGATACATCTATGGATGCGCACTACCAGGCTTGCTTCAGATGCTGAATCTTACCTACATTTTCCGGTTGAGTGAACAGGTTAAAGTTTTTGGTTCAGGTTTCATTTCTAAGTAACTATTAGTCCTATGTTGACCAAACTTGCATGGATGATACATCTAAGGATGCATACTACCAGGCTTGCTTTGGATGCTGAATCTTACCTACATTTTCCGGTTGAGTGAACAGGTTAATGTTTTTGGTGCAGGTTTCATTTGCAAGTAACTATAAGCCCTATGTTGACCAATCTTGCATAGATGATACATCTAAGGATGCATACTACCAGGCTTGCTTTGGATGCTGAGTCTGACCTACATTTTCTTGTTGAGTGAACAGGTTAAAGTTTTTGGTGCAGGTTTTATTTCCAAGTAACTATAAGCCCTATGTTGACCAAACTTGCATGGATGATACATCTCTAAGGATGCATACTACCGGGCTTGCTTCAGATGCTGAATTTGACCTACATTTTCTGGTTGAGTGAACAGGTTAAAGTTTTTGGTGCAGGTTTCATTTCCAAGTAACTTTAAGCCCTATGTTGACCAAACTTGCATGGATGATACATCTAAGGATGCACACTACCGGGCTTGCTTTGGATGCTGAATCTGACCTACATTTTCCGGTTGAGTGATCAGGTTAATGTTTTTGGTGCAGGTTTTATTTGCAAGTAACTATAAGCCCTATGTTGACCAAACTTGCATGGATGATACATCTAAGGATGCATACTACCAGGCTTGCTTCGGATGCTGAATCTTACCTACATTTTCTTGTTGAGTGAACAGGTTAAAGTTTTTGGTGCAGGTTTTATTTCCAAGTAACTATAAGCCCTATGTTGACCAAACTTGCATGGATGATACATCTAAGGATGCATACTACCAGGCTTGCTTCAGATGCTGAATCTGACCTACATTTTCTGGTTGAGTGAACAGGTTAATTTTTTTTGTGCATGTTTCATTTGCAAGTAACTTTAAGCCCTATGTTGACCAATCTTGCATGGATGATACATCTAAGGATGCACACTACCGGGCTTGCTTCGGATGCTGAATCTGACCTACATTTTCCGGTTGAGTGATCAGGTTAAAGTTTTTGATGCAGGTTTCATTTTTAAATAACTATGAGTTCTTTAATGACCAATCTTGCATGGATGATACATCTAAGGATGCATACTACCAGGCTTGATTCGGATGCTGAATCTGACCTACATTTTCCGGTTGAGTGAACAGGTTAAAGATTTTGGTGCAGATTTCATTTCCAAGTATCTATAAGTCCTATGTTGACCAAACTTGCATGGATGATACATCTAAGGATGGATACTACCAGACTTGCTTCAGATGCTGAATTCGACATACCTACATTTTTCAAATAATAGACCAGGTAAAAGTTATGGTCGCAGTTCTATTTCCAAGAAACTATAAGGCTTATATAACATTGTATAAACCAAACTTGCACAAATGTTGCATCAAGAGATGAAAACTCTCAAATTTGCTTCAGATGCTGGATTTTGATTACATTTTCATGAAGAAGAACTAGTTTAAATTTTTTATGTAGGTCTATTTCAAAGTATCAGATCAAAATTGCTTAAATATTTTCATTTTTGGAATGTACACTTTTTGTTGGTTAATTGTGTGACTTTGACTTACTTAAAGACAACATTCGTTGAGGTGAGCTCTGTAATCTCTGATTACCTATGTTTGATTTGAATGA